CTAAACGTTTTACTAAAAAGAAACAGCTGGAGGTTAATTGGCAACAAGTCAGTAACATGATTGGGTATAAAAAAGAGAGGCAGAGTGTCTCAGAAGTAAAGATGGGCAGAGGTTCACCGATCTGCAAAAAAAGTGCTTCTACAATTTGTGGAACAATTTCTGAATAATGTTCCTCAATGTAAAATTGTAAAGACTATGAACATCTCATCATCTACAGTGCATAATATCATCAAAAGATTCAGAGAATCTGCAGAAATCTCTGTGCACAAGGGACAAGCGTGAAAATCAATATTGCATGCCCGTGATCTTCGGGCCCTCAGGTGGCACTGCATTAAAATCAGGTATGATTATATATTGGAAATCACTGCATGGGTTCAGAAACACCTCCATAACTAATTTTCTGTGAACACACTTCGCGGTACCATCCACAAATGCAGGTTAAAGCTCTATCACATGCAGAAGAAGCCATATGTGAACATGATCCACGAAATGACACCATCCACTATGGGCCAAAGCTCATTTAAAATGAACTGAGGCAAAGTGGAAAACTGTTGTGTGGTCAGTTGAATAAAAAATTTTTAAATTATTTTTGGAGAGGGACCATCTGACTTTTTGTCAGCACTCAGTTAAGACGCCTGCATCTCTGATTGTATGGGGGTGTGTTAGTGCCTGTGGAATTGGCAGCTTGCACATCTGGAAAGGGACCATTAATGCGGAAAGGTATATACAAAATATATGCAAAAGATATTGTTTTATACCAAATCATGTTACTGACCTGTTGCCAATTAACCTAATTAGTTGCAAAATGTTCCTCCAGCTGTTTCTTTTTAGTAGCATTTAGTTTTCTAGCCTTTTGTTGCCCTTGCCCAACTTTTTTGAAACATGTTGCTGTAGCGAGGTTGACTTTCCAAGACAACTTGATAGTTTACAGGTACCAGTTTTCTTACTACTCTGTAAGGACCCTTCCATTTTCTAGCCAGCTTAGCTGTAAAGTAATGTAGTGAACTTGACTGGGGAAAACGTCTTACCCAGACTCGGTCTTGGAATTTGAAAGAAACTTCCCTTCAGTTCTTGATGTAATTCCTAAGTTGCCAAAGACGTACTTTCCTAGAACTGACTTGGCTTGAAACTGTTTCAGTCGGTGGACAATCTCATAGGGGAGAGTATCTGGAGACACCGGAGTATCTGCCTGAAGGATAGATATTCTCCATACGACTCCATAGTTTCCTTCCCAAATGTAGCTCCGCAGGGGTCAGTCTGGTAGTTTCCTGTATTGCAAAGTTCAATACAAACCTGAATTCTGGAATGTACATATCTCCTTTTCTGTGATTATCCTCCACATAAGACGCAATCATACATTTTAAGGTACAATTTCAAAAAAGGGCCCAAGATGTCAACTCCTAACATCTCATTAGGACTGTTAACAATGGTTTGCTGCATTTTCCCTGCTGATTTCTTGTTGTCGGCTTTCAATACTTCTCATTTCTCACAACCTTTGATGAGCTTTTTCACATCTGACCACATCCCAGAATGCAAAATCATGAAGCCATTTAAATGTCATGAAAAATTCCTAGATGGCCACTTAGAGTACCGGTACTCTTGTGAAAAGCCTGGAACATCTGGAAAGTATGTGAAGCTGGAATGTAAATACGGCAGTGAGTTTGTTGATCAGTCACCTGGGTTTTTAGGTATAACTTATCCTTATTTCTCCATAGCCTCCTTATCGCCTCCTGCTATTGCTTTAATCACTTTTTTCAATCTCAGGGCCTTTGTGTTGTTCATCCAAAATGAAATCGGCAGTTAACGGGAGGTCATCAATCTCCTTTTGTGAAGAAACAAGAGCACGCCCAGAAGTGGTAAAAAAAAGAGCATCTAGGACTACGTTAAGCTTACCCTTACGGTACTCTACTATGAAATCAAATTTCTGTAGCCTTAGGGCCCATCTTAAAAGACAACTAGCGGTTTAGGTGGAAGTCCTGACCCACTGTAAGGCTGAATGATCAGTGACCAGAGTGAACCGTTTTTGTTCTAGGTAAGATTTCCATTTTTCTAGGCCCAATACTACAGCAAGGCACTCTTATTCTGTTGTAGAATAGTTTACTTCCACTTTATTGAGTGTTCGGCTGGCATAGGCATAAGCTTCCGGAAATCCACACAGAATCTGTGTCTGCCATGTCTTTTTTGGGGGGGACTTTTACTACCGGAGAAGTCCAACCAGAACGTGATGGTTCGAGAATACCAGAGGATAACATCTCCTCGAGGTTTTCCTTGACAATGGTCTGCTTCTCTAAAGACATTTGATAGGGTTTTTGTTTAATGGGAATGGTAGCTGTGGAATATATGTGATTGTTGGATTGAAATTAAGCTAAAACATAATACCAGTAAAGAGATACATGACAATTCATAATACCAAGGAAAAAGACACAGTACAGTTAAACTCAGAAAGCAACAATTTTATTGAGGAGAAGCGGGACTGGTGGGAGAATAAGAAGGAATGAATAGCAGTCGGGGTATGCCCAGGGCCAGACGAATCATCAGAATATTCTGGGCTGGTGGGGTTGTAGGAAGTATTAGGGCCAGAGTCACATTGGAATGGTTCCATGTCATTGTCTGCCCAATAGCCATCAGTAGTATGAGTAGAAGGAGTGAATGATAGAGGTTCCGTTTGGGTAGAAGAATCCACCAGAGTAACAGCAGGGCTGAGGCGATAACGAAGAGGGGGTGGAAAAGTGGAGGTAGAGGAGGGTACGCGGAGGACATCCACAAGGAGGGCCAAGTCAGCAAAAAGATGTGACAATTGATACCTAGACTCCAGATCTAGGCCCTCTAACCCCTCCATAGCAGAAAACAGAAACCCAAGCCCAGCACGGTGCGCTGTACAAATACACACAATAGGATAACGTAAGCCACAAGGGATATGCTATAAATAACCAGATAGGATTATGAGAAGAATAGGCCATTTAGAAAACAATGAAGCTGAAATAAGACAAAAACTTACCCATAGTGAAAATTCCCTTGCTGGAAAGAACCAAGAATAACAAACACTCCACTCCGCTCAGAGGAAGGAACCGAATGAGATATAATTGGGAAGTACCGCTGGTTTTTAAAAAAAACACCAAAACCCAGGAGAATCATAAGGGTGTGGGAAAATGAGTAAAACAAAAACATAATGGTGTGGGAAAGAAGATAAAATATGTGCATATAGGTAACTGGAAACAATGAGTATTGAAACATACTGGTTGTTGAAAAATATACAATGGAAAACATATTGGTTGCTAATTAAGGCATGAATACAAACATAAGGGGCATGGGAAAAAAGGAAGTTCTGACATAATGGTGTACGAGATAAGAAGAAGGGGCGATAGCTCATAGAAAAATTGTATAAAAGGGGAGCCCCGCTCCAGGCATGTTAGATCACTTTTTGAGACGTCCCAAACTGTTTGGATCTCAGGTAACTGGAATCAATAAACTGGACCTTCATCTTTTCTCACTCATTGGTTCCGTGTGGTGATTTAGACTTTGAGTACCACAGCTGGTGAAAGCTATTGTAAGTACATTCAATATTTTTCTAAAATTGTTATATTGGTAATAAGAAAGTAGACAAAAATTTGACCAACATGATGCTGTAGTACATCGGTTCTACCAGGTTTATGTGTACCCACCTGAAGATTTGATTTGAAGAATGTTCTTCAGTTGCTACTTTTCAGTATCATTCAGCTGAGCAGATGATACTGCTTGATCAATGTAATCTTCCACATTCAGTTGAATCACTTCTGAAGAACACATAGGTGGGGGAGTGGAGCTGAAGAGCCCATGTTAATGTTTCTGTTCATACCTTCCTATGCTTTTCTTGGATTCTTGACCTTTTCATCCAGACACGCAAGCATTGTCAGGTTGGAAGGAATACCAAGACTTAATCTGTATGGGTTAATTGGTATCACCAGTCGGTGAAGAAATCAAAGTATCTTTTCTCTGCGGTTGCTTGGAGGTTATTGTTAATGCAGAGGAGTTGGTGGAGCGTCCACTGTTTTTTGACTTATAAGGTTTTTGCTTATTTTGGGGAGGAAAATGAGAAGAGAATGTATACTGGGCAACTGTGGCGCAGATGGTAGAACAGGTTGTCCACTAATCGTAGGGTTGAGTCTCCATGCCAAAGTGTCCTTCGGCAAGACACTGATGGCAAGCTAGCACCTTGCATGGCAGCTCTGCTACCATTGGTGTGTGTGTGTGTGTGAATGGGTGAATGAGGCACAGTGTAAATCACTTTGGATAAAAGTGCTATTTAAGTGCGCCATTTACCATTTACTGAGGGCAGGATCCAGGGGAATGGGCACCTTCGCACGTTTTTCTCCTTGCTGACTACACAGATGCAATACTTTCTGCATTTGCTACACTTTTCTTCCCTGGAGGTTACGTTCATATACAAGCTGTTGGTCTTGGTCTCTCTGAAATTGATGACCAAGCTGTACAAGATCGTCCACATTGAGGACTCTTCCATTGAGCTTACTGGTGAGGTAAGGTTTTTATATGTTTCAAAATGAGTTTTACAATGTCCAATTCAGTCAGTTTAGGATTCCATCGTGAACAGGGGCCTTACTTACACTGTTTTACGAACATTAAAGTCTTCTTTTATAGATGCACATTGGAACACTGCATTTGCTCTACTGGTCTCAAATTCAATGACTCCAAAAGCAATAAGGGTATAAAAGAACAACTTTCTGCAGCAGAGACTACTTTGACCTTGCTTACTATGTTTCTGAATACTCTAAAGGCTAGAGATGCTGGGGAGTGTACGCATATGCACTACAACTGAGCTATATCCCTTATATAATTGGGCAGAATAGAGGTGAACAAAGATAAAATTGAGAAATCACATTGTATCCAAACAATATTATTAGCAGGAGTGGAAGAAGTTTCCCATGGAAATTATATTGTGTCCTAAAAACTTAATGGGCATCTACAAAGTGAGAACAGAAAGACAACAACAAACATGCACTGCAAGGCATTAACAGGAATTGAACCTGTGATCTTCAGTTTACAAGACCAAGGCCTTCCCACTTGGCCATCATGCCTGCAGAAGAAATTCCTGAAGATATCTTGTAGCACAATGGTCATGGTGGACCATTGTTCCATTTATCTGTACCAGCTTTATATGGTTATATTGACAATAAAAGGCACTAGATATCCAACTGAACAGGTCAACAGACACATAAGACATGCCTGTAACATCCTGGATAGAAGTGTGTTGTCCCTACTGAGATATGTTCAGAACCATAAGACACCACTAGGACCTCAATCAAGCAGTCAAAGTACGTAGTGTAAGTCACGAGTAGCAGCAAAACTACTGGAACCTTGCTTACGCTGTTTTTCAGAACTATAAATTTTTCCTTGGGAGATTCACATTGGAACACTGCATTTGCTCTGTCGATCTCAAGTTGACAAATGCCAAATGTAATACAGACATTATAGAGCTGCTTCACCACTACCAGCAGAGGTTGTGTGGGCCTTGCTTACTATGTTTTTCAATACTTCCAAGACTACAAAGACTGGAAATGCTGTGGATTGAACCCCAGACCTCATTAATGCAAAACATGCACTTCATCACTGCTCTACATCCCCGAAACAATACACACCATTGAGGCAAATAAAGATAACCGGGAGAACACATTTTCACATCCAATAGGTTTTATTTATTACATCATTTATTATAGCAAGCAGGGAAAATTACCAGGTGTTGGTCAAAGAACTAGGTTCAAATTCAAAGGTGCCAAAAGCAATAAGAGTATAACATAATTACTTCATCAGTAGCATGCAGCAACGTGCGGTCAGGAGAGGTGTCATCTTAAAATGTGTCATCATGAGTTCCGGTTGAGCATGTGAGGGAGAAGGCACGCGTGAAGGGAGCTCCCAAGTATTTTCTCTTTTAATTCTGCTTTTCAGGCAACCTGAACTTTTTCTGTCTTTTCAGAGGCATTTAGTGCCTTTGTGTTAAAGTACTTGGTTTACAATTATAACCAGAAGGGAGTTATGGCGTCTGAAAGACAACGCAAACTTAAATCTACACCGAGCACGGCGAGTCATGGCGACAAGCTCCCTCTGGACTTAGAAAATCTCCGTGCAACTGTAATCACTAAGCTGACTTCTACCATCGCAGCACAGGTGACAGCGGCTATGAACTCGGCTCTGGCCCCAGTTATCGCGTCTTTTGAACGTTTTAAATCGGGTATTGAGTCACAAGGACGGCGTATTGGCGAGCTTGAGCAACACCTGAATGATTACAGTGACCGAATTGCAACGCTGGAAGAGACCGTGCTACAGCTGGCTTCAGCTAACAAACACCTCACTGATAAAGTGTAGGACCTGGAGTCCCGTTCACGGCGCTGCAATCTCCGTGTCATCGGTATTCCGGAGCGAGAAGAAGGGAGCGATCCGGTCACGTTTATGTCAAAGTTTTTCCAGGATGTCCTTGGATCGGATATCTTTCCGACCCCCATCGCCCTGGATGGCTAGCCCCGCATGGGTCCCATGCCCTCGGAGGAGCGATTTGCGTTTGTGTGTGTGTGTGTGTGTGGGGGTTGTGTTGTATGTGTGGGGGTTGTGTTGTATGTATGGGGGGGGTTGTGTTGTATGTATGGGGGTTGTGTTGTATGTATGTGGGGGGTGTTGTATGTATGGGGGGTTGTGTTGTATGTATGTGGGGGGGATCCCGTTTTTTTGTTTGTTTGTTTGTTTTTTTCCCTATTCATATCAACCTCTCTGTATTAATCTAAATTAATGGAAAATACCCGAAGCTCATTCAGATTCCTAAGCTGTGCCCTTTTTGTTTGATAATGTCCTTTCTTATGTAAATGGTAGATATGTGATTGTGGAAGGGAAAATTTCACAGATGCCAGTAGTTTTGGTGAATGTATATGCCACAAACTTTGATAATGCTCCTTTTGCTCAGAATTTTTTGTCAAAACCTCCTGCTTTGAACACACATCTCTTGATATTTGGGGGAGATTTGAACTGTGTTTTTGACCCAGCCTTGGACAAATCTAGCGCTGTTGCAAAGGCTCCCTCTGCGATGGCAAAGTATTCTGAGTTAGTTCAGAATGGTTACATTGATCCGTGGAGGTATTTAAACCCTACAGTGAGGAAATATTATTTTTTTCCCCATGTACATAAATCTTTTTCTCGCATTGATTACTTTTTTATTAATGATTCTCTAATTTCTCAGGTTGTAAACTCTGAATATCTACCAATGGTTATTTCAGACCACGCTCCTCTAAGTCTTGACATACTTATACTTTCACATCGAGCCTTTCGCCCACCATGGAGGCTTAATTCTTTTAGCCAAACTTTTGGCCAGTCGTCTGGAGGGGATTGTCCCTGGCATTATTTCAGAGGAGCAATCCGGATTTGTAAAAGGACGGCATTCCTTTTCTAATATTCGCACTCTATTTAATATTTTGTATTCAAAGCAGAACAGCGACTCCTCTGAAGAGGTCATCTCTTTGGATGCAGAAAAGGCATTTGATAGAGGTCAAGAGTGTGACCACCACTATGAGTAGGCCCAATTACGTTCTGATTAATCCCTACTGAATCTAAGATGGACACGACCGCTGTTCTCAGAGGGTCCTCCAGGTTATCAAATGAATATTAAAATCTCCGACGATTAATGCTTTATTTACAGACACAACCAGGTTTGATACAAAGTCTGCAAATTCACTAACAAATTCAGTATATTGCCCTGGGGGTCTGTAAATAATAATTAGAGGAATTGACTTATTGATTTTTTACACTGGTATAAAGAATTTCAAAGGAATTAAACTTATGACTATATTTTTGTGTGACGACTAGATTTTCACTATGGATACGACCAACCCCTCCTCCTCTACCAGTTAAACGAGGCTGATGTACATAACTGTATCCAGGAGGACTGGCTTCATTTAATGCTATGTACTCATTTGGTTTAACCCAAGTTTCCGTTAAACACATTAAATTACATTCCTGGTCAGTTATGATGTCGTTGATAATAAGAGCCTTAGACATAAGAGATCTAACGTTTAATAGACCTAGCTTCAGATCAAAAATGCTGGCTGTGCATTCAATGTGATTTAATTTTATGTTAATTAGGTTATGAAGGTTACGAGATTTCCTATATATTTGTATAGCTCGGGGAACAGACACAGTCTCTATAGTATTTATTACTGTTGATGGACTACTAATTGAACATTGATTAAACTGACTGTTATTGTCAGAAGATGTACTTACGGTAGAGAGTCACTTGGAGTGAAGCGCCTTGGAGATGTTCTTGGACAGCAGTTCCGCTCCAATGCTGCTGGGGTGCAGGCCATCAGGACGAAACAACCTAGGGCGCTCCCAAAACAGATTCCAGTTATTAACAAACACTAGATTCTGCTCATTACACCAAGAGACTAACCATTCATTTAAAGCGAGAAGTCTACTGAACTTTTCTGCTCCACGTCTGAATGTGGGAAGAGGTCCAGAGACGATGATCCTCGCTGTGGGTGATCTCGATCAGGCTGGAGAAGTCCCTCTTCAGAACCTCTGTCTGCCGTAGCCTGGTGTCGTTCGTCCCGGCGTGCAGCACAACCGCTCCAATGCGCTCCTCCTTCTTCAGGATCCTGGATACCTGCACAGCGACATCAAGAACACGAGCACCAGAAAAACAGTGTGTGTGCACCTTACCTTTGGATGAAGCTACACGGACGTTCAACACGATGGAGTCTCCGACGATCACGGAGTTGGGTCTGGTCTGGCGGAGAGGGGCGAAGCGGTTCCGGGTTGGAATCTGGAACACCGGTGGTGGAGAGACCTTCGCCCGTAGTCCAGCTTTCAGCCACTGATTCACCGAAGGCCCGAGGTGTGTTGGCGCCGGTGTGACGGAGACCACGGCTGGGAAAGTCCTGGCTGCACGATCCCTGCACAGAGAAACACACGGTGTAGAGGGGCTGGGAGTGGAAATACCACACTGTGTGTTTACCTTGGGTGTGTGGACAGAAGCACAAGATGATTCCAGCGCAGTTCGTCGCTCCTGCAGCTGGGCCTGCTGGTCAAGTAGGCCGCGGATCCTCCTCTCCACATCCTCCAGTTCCAGCAACACCATGTGAAGCTAGATCGAGTCATCTGCACTCAGAACAGGAGAGACGGTGGACATATTTGTTTTGGTTTTTTTTAAACAGAACAGTGATAATTTCAGAATATGAAATACAAACGTAAAATAGGCTAGTGGTTGGTGACGCTAGCGGTTACTGCTAATCGCGATGCTAGCGGGCTAAAGCTAATCGCAAGCTAGTCGTTGATGTTTGTACAAACAAACCAGAATTTAGCGACACCGCAATATTACAATTAGTTTTATCTAAACTAATGTGTTTATATTTGTAAAATTTATTACTTATTTCAATGATTTACGCACCCTGGAGGTAGATTGAGGAGAGGTAGACAGTGAACACTAACCGTTTTACCCTCTTTATGTTATTTAATTTTTTTTTTTGTATTATTATTATAAAAAAATTTTTTAATTAATTTATTTTTTTATTTTATTTTATTTTACTTTATTTTATTTTATTTATTTATTTATTTATTTTCTCTCTCCCCCCTTTATTTTGGTTTTGGCTGTGGTTCTTTTTTGGGCGTTGTTGGGTGGGGTGTTGTGTTATAATGTTAAAAATGCAAATTTCCAATAAAAATTCTATGGCAAAAAATGTGTCATCATAAATTGTAAAAAACAGATAATGATTAAAAATAAATAAATAAAAATTTGTCCACTGATCTGTGATAGAAATATAATTATTGTATGATTCCAATCATTCCAATGATTTTTATAGTCAATATCGCTGAATTTGTGTATTTTCCTGTTCTAATACAGGAGAAAAACGCAAAGGGAGGCAGCGACGAGCTGAGCCTCCACTCGGATTGCACAATCCCTCACAAACTGGATTGAGTTGCTCATTTTGTTTGCTCAACTTGAGCATGTACAATTGATCTCTCTGTATGTCACCAATGTTTGCACACACTTTTATTATATGTCCTCACATTCCATAGTCTAGGTCATGTATTTCACATA